CTCCATGGGATAGGAGATTGTCTCTTTGTCCGTGCAATATTTGAAGATTACTGATGTCCACCTTGGGTTTAAAAGACAAACTTCTGGTAGCAAGCCTACAGCCTCAGCTTCACGAGTCAGTTAACCCTGCTGTTCTTAGAAAAAGAGTAATACTTCACCATTGTGTCCTTGTAAATCTCCCCAAACACCGGCTGGGCTTGGGTTTCCTGCCTAACTACCACCAAAATCTGGTTCTTTCTTCGTTTATGAGACCGGTCTAGTGAATCCCAATGATTGAGAAAGTCTCCCCTTGAGGTAACCAGAAATCGTTTTTGATGATTACTGCTTGATAAAATGTGAGCCTTTATACTCTCTTGATGCTTGAGATTCCTGCTGCATTTTTGAAGGTTCTTCTATTATGCTTCCTTCAAAGGGACTAGTAGAATTGATGCCATAGTGTGTCCCCATAGTAACAGTCAAATAAGCAGAATAGGTGGGGAAAACCATACCATGAGTGGAGAACTAGCCGGCGGGAGGAGGGAGAGAACAGAATATGAATAGATGCTGGTCTCACCAATATGAGACCAAAGAGGTTCAAGAAATTTTCTCATGCATCTCTAGCCATGTTAAAGTGCAAGAGGAGATGGCTGACATACTCTTCCTGATTCTGGCACATGTTGCATCTGTTGGGGATTTGCAGAATGCTATGTTGCGGATGATCAACAATCAGTGGGTTATCTAGAACGGTCAGCCAGATTAATACTTGTGCACGAGCTGGTGCCTTTATTTTCCAGGCTGTGTGCTACTGAGAGTGCTACTGAGAGCTGTTGATTAGGTACTGAAATCTTGTTGTAGAACGAGTTAGCTGTGAACTCAACTTGCTGTTTGGGCCTAAGATGATGATGTCTTCTCTATACATGGTAGCAGAATGGCTTTGCATCCTATACAATTTGCCGCTGTTCAAAGTCTCTCTGGGTCTACATCCACACCCATTGGAGTAGTTTCTTGCATGTTAATGGGGAGCCTGGCGGCAAACTTCCAACACCTGAGGAAGATCCACTAATCATCTACTAGCTGCTTATTAGGTTTGCAGAAGATAAAGGTGTGCGCAGCATATTGTACCGGCCCACTTCCACAAAACCATGGAGGATTCCTACCAAGCCATTTGGGTCTCTAATAAACCAACTCCGTCAAGGTTTATTTTTAAAAGGGAAAGGCAGTTGATCGCCTCCCGGGGGAGGGGTGGTGTTTTCTGGAGTAAAGATTCTTGAAGAAGAGTATTGCTGCTTCCTTAACTCCTCCTTTCCCCTCAAAAGTTCTCCTAAATACCTTTGATGCTTCTAATAGTGCTATTTTGATTTCTACAACTTCATATTTGTAACATTATTGTGGTGTTTGATTCTCTATCCTATTAATGAGAAAGCAGGTAGGGGCCCCAATCCCCATTGATTCACCCCAAAAAAAAAATTTATTATTGAGGTCCCCCTCTTTAAGCCATTTTACTCCATATCTTTGTCTCCAATAAATTTCTTTCTACTTTAAGAATAGCTTGGAAATTTGCTTTTGCTTTATTACGTTTGCCCATTCTAACAGAATGACACTATTATGAATATCATGTAGCCCTTGCTGCTTGGATCCATTTGGTTATTCTATTGTGACCTCTGGATAATCTTATAATCTTCAATGGCAATCAGCCCTCCAATGGATTTTTGAGGCTTTGATGTATCTAAGTGAGGAAGTCTGAACCTAAATCACCCAACAACCTTCTATTCCTAGGTATTTTGTGGGAAAATAGGGACATATATTTAGCATTGCTGAACAAAGAGAAGTATTTTGCTGCCATACAATTCAAATCAAAAGTGTCCAACCACTAAATAACGTATTTTGTAGCATTTGTTTTTGTCAACTTGGAGGATAGTTGTGCTCATGTGGCAAAGAGAAATTTTATTTGGTGTTTGTCTGTCGTTGGGATTGTTTTGTCCTCTTACTAGGAGACTCCCTTTCGCTTCCTAAGAATCCCTTTTGCATTAGATTTATTTTGTTTATTTTTTGTCCACTCTTTGTATGGGTCATTGTTATAGTTGATGTGCTCGTTGCATTTAGTTTATTGCATGGATGGTTGATTGTCAAGAAAGAAAAATGTTGGCCATGGCCAAATCGGAGTCTTTAAATTAGAGAAAACGAAGAATGATTATTTAGTCATTGATATGAAGAAACTTGGGGTATTCATTCTTTACTATGAGGCAAGTATGGGATCTAAACCACAGACCTAGGCAAAAGGAAAAGCTTCCTAAGCTGATATGCGCCCAACCATGAGTTTATGCATTCAATCCAATTAGCTAACCTCTTCTTTCAACCTATTAAGGCTGGCCAGGTTACAGGAACTGTGGCCACTATTGCTAACAATTTCATCCAACCAAAAATAAGAGCACATAAATTTGACCTTGGGAAGACAACAATGTTGGGCAAAATCTCAAAGCTTCTATCTGTTTGTTTCTTGACCCATATATATCCACCATTGAATTTGTGTTTTGTAACTGTATTGTGACGTCATCGTCGTCGTCGGAGCCTTAACCCAACTATTTGGGGTTGGCTTTTATTGAAACATGAGGGCAGTTAATATTCAAAAGCTCCATATCAAGTCTCAAGTATGCTAGAATTATCACCAAACTCCAAGGAAGGGACTTTTATGAAGCCCATTTGATTATAATCACATCAGTTCCTGTCAACAAAATGGGTCAAGATTCTGACCTGTACTAAAATGATATTAATTTTTAATCCTTGCAGAGTTCAGTTGTCGAAGTACAACAGTCCTATAGAACATTTCATGATATACCCTTAACCATTATAAATTGTACTACTGAAACCGCGAGCCTCACGTTCCCTTAAGCACAATCATCAAAGTTGAGGCTGTTCCGTACATTTAGTCGGAGTTTCAGGGAATTGCTTTATTTTAACATCATTCTTTTGTAGGGACTACAACATGTCATGCTTTTTGATGCTCATGATAAAACCCCTTGCTTGAGGCCTTTTCGACAAAAAAATATACCTTGGAATATTGTTTAGCCATTTTATGACACTCCATCCATGTATATATGTGCTATAAATAAATTAAACCATTTTGTCTTTAGTTGGGAGGGTATTTCAAATCTATATCTGATACGTTTGGAACATATGTAATTCGTTTCGAAAAATTTATTGTGAAGGATTTCGTACATCATCCTTCGTGTTTGAAGGTTAGCAAATCCATTTGTGTGTCTGTTTTTGTGTTTTTGAGCGTGTCTATTTTATTGACATTTTTATTTGGGAAATTTATCTAATTACCCATAAGAGATGGACAATTTAACAACTTACCCATATCTTTTGATTTAATTTCAAAATAACCATTTAAAACACATAATCTTGAGTTGGACTAGTTGCAAATGTGTAGAATATTAAATTGTTCATCGCTTAAAGTTATTTTGATAATTTCCCTTTTTTATTTATGTGGATGGAGGGCAATAGGGTCTTATCCCCATTAAGATGATGATGAGCCCCATTCCACAGAATGAGAGCGAGAACTTTATCTATGAGAGATGAGGACTTTTCCTCTCACATTAAGAGTTTTGAGTTAGTATTGTGGCGAGCATACATGTACCTAAAAGCTCTTAAGAGTTACTCGCTTTTATCCATTGTGTATAAGATTTGTACTTATGAATCATATTATGGAAAATCTAGAATTCACAACTCTTCAAAATATAAAGGTTAATGTTAGTCATCGCTTATAGTTATGTTGATAATTTCCCTTTTTATTCATGTGGATGGAGGGCAATAGGGTCTTATCCCCATTAAGATGATTATGAGCCCCCTTCCCCCTCAAGTAGAACTGTTGACATGGAATTCTTTTTCCCTGGCACCCACACATATATCACTGATTTGGTATATGTCAGTATATGATGTTGAACAATATCTGACATCCAACAATCAAGTGTGAGGAAGCACTTATGCTGGCTATTGTTGCTTTCATCCTCTGGCTACATCTACTGTTGCAAGAATCAGTTGTGGCTAATGAAATATGAGAAAATCTCTAATGTTCCTCCCATTATGGACCAGCTAAATGCCTAAATGAAATGGAGCAAGTATACAGTTATAATGTGTAGAAAACTAGATACTGATCCTAGTAGTAATGAAATTTCTGGGAGGGTAAAGAATTGACAAAGGCAGAGGGGCCTGTGCGCTATGAATCCTAAGCACAACCAAAGGAAGTATTGAGAAGATTCCTTCATTGGATTGAATAAGCTTCCTCGAAGGCAAGTATGTGTCAACATGGTTCTCTTTGTTGTACATGATTACTTGTGTAACAATTGGGGATGTCCTAAAGGGGTCCAGAAAGGCCTTGTAGCTAATTCTATTAGGAAAGGTTGGAAATGGATGGCCATAGAGACCTTTGCTTTTCAATATTGTTATTTGTTAATCATGAGTTTGCAAAGAGAGACGGTAATGGGGTTGAGGTCATGGTGGTAGTACCACTTGAGCCCCAGCTACCGGTCTAGGTTTTCATTCCCACTTATGCATTTGAAAACTGCTAATTATTTCTAAAAACGGTTGTATTCCCCACCGATCTACCCAAAAAAAAGAGTTTGCAAAGAAAGTTCCTCTTTCTTGTTTCGTTAATTAAAATTCGGTTCTCCCTCCTCTCCCTACCCCTTGTTCTTTCTGTTTTTTCATTTTCTGGGTTGACTTTGTGCAATTGCTAGATTAAAACACTATCATTGTGGATCTTTTCTCAAGATTTGGTCAAAGCCTGACCCTATTCTTACATGTACCTGTGCATGGACCTCATTGAAATTTTCTACAAGCATTTGGAACCTTTCTTTGCTCATTATAATCTCCTAAATATGGGGTAGTAATGAACTAAATCTCTTTTTTTATCATCTCTCTCATCTTTCTCTGAGCAAGCATTATTATACTGTTCTTATTCGAAATTTTACATCAGATTCACCAAATCTTGTACTGCATGCTTCTCTCTCTCTCTCAACCAGGGGCAGGTTCTCTCGTCTAGTGAAGTGATTTACTTGTGCGCACCATCATTGTCGATGAGATGAAGAAAGGCTTGCATCCACAGATGCAATGGATTTCATATGTCACACAAAGTGGAAGGCTGATCCAAGTTATGATGACCAAGATACATAACACTGGTAAAGTCTACCACTTGAGGGCAAGGCGTCAGATGGCCCAAAGCATGGGCCAAATTGCAAAATTCAAGAAGCGGTACGGATCTAAGACGGAAGAGCAGAAAGAAGATTGAGTTGCACAATAGTAATCCCCAATTCTTAACTCTAATAGGGGACACCATTAATCGCTCGACTTCCCTTAAAGTGGGCAACATTGCTGTATGTGGTGGAGATGAGGTTCTTTCTGGATTTAACAGCTTGTGATATATCCTTTTACGGAAAATATTTTCGTGAGAAATTTAAAACAGTTATGGTGAGGAGAAAACAGTTTAAAGCTAGAATTTTGTAAACAAGGAGATCTCAAACTTAAGTCAGTTTTAACTGTTTTGTTGAAGTTTTGTTTTAAGATGGCTATGTTTGTTAAATGTACGAGTTTCTGAAATCGTAGGGAACCTCATCCACGGTAGATATAACATAATGGATGGTCCAGATCATTTACAAAATACTTTGATGCATTAAAAGAATTCATAGTATTTAAATTTTATTTTTCCGCTAAAATTTTGGATTTCTATGCTTCTGAACTTCATGCAGGTGTAAAAAAATGGGAAAGTCTTCCATCCACGTTATTTGGAAGGGTGCACAAGCACTCTGCCAATGGTAATGGCTTTGATTAGAGATGACCACGTCCAAGTGCCACAAAAGAGGTGAATTTTTTTTATTTATTATTATTTAAAAATAACATCTATTTGGAATTTAAGTTATAGATGTATTTTTATGAACCAAATAGGGAATATAAAACAAATATCTTGAAACAAAAAAGTTGACCAAAATACCCTCTTCACGGGTATTTTGGTCAAATATTTTGTTTAAATATTTTTGTTTCTTTTTATTTTATTGTGCCATATAAAAATACATCTATATCTGAAATTTCAGGCTGAACCCGGTAACATGTAAAATAAAATGTAAAGCGCTTTTTGGGCTATTGGATGCATGAAGTGGATGCTATACCATCCTATAAATAATATAAAAAACATATTTTGAAAAAAAGTAGAATGGCCTTTTAGAGCATGTTGGAAATGGTGAGGTCCACTCATTTGGACCTAGACTCAACCACTAGTTCCAATATTTGGTTCTAGGCTAGGACCGGTTGAGTCGAATGGTCAACTTGATCCAATTGCCATCTCCGCCTAATCTATCAAAGGTATTTTTCGTTAATTTATTTTTATTTTTATTTTTTTTACAAATGTGCCCCGATGAGGCACATTATATCCTTCAAATAACATCTCAATCTGATTTCTAATAAAAATAAAAACATATGAAAATATGTTGCACCTTTTTAAAATGAATAGTCTAGAAACCAAAACTTAAGAAAGCCGCACTCTCCCCTTGAGATTGTTTACATTTGGTATAAGGTGGTTGCAATTAATTTTGACTATTGGATGTGAAATTGAATGGTTGCATTTATTCCATTGATCAAACTCAAACTTCAAAAGGAATTTTTTTCGAACTTTGTGACACATTCAAGCTATCAAATTTCACATGAGATGCTTGTAAGTAACTGTGACTACTTTTTTATCAAAGGTAAATGGGCTTATTATATACAAAACCCTTATTTTTAGTAGATTAGCATTGTTTTCGGGATGTTGTTTCTAATCTTTTGTGTTACCTCATTAGTACCTTTTGAAAATTAATTGTGGTCTTTTTTTACCCTGTAATTTTTATCTTTTATCTTCTTTTTTTTTAATTAAAAGATCTAGGAGAGAAATTTTCCAAAGCCTAGTACCTCATTTCATAGGCTAACCAGCCTTAGTTATAATATTTATCGATCTTTTTCTTTTGGGTGTAGTTTGTATAGGGCAGAATCTCTAAACAATAACAAAGAAAGCTTCCTTTCAAATAATGTCGAAAGATGCTCTTTCAATATTGAAAATCTTTATGATGGCTTGAAAATTTATTTTATCTCTAATTATAAAATTTAAAACTTCAAAAGTATTATAGATCGAGCAGGTCTATGAACACTTGAAAATATTAAAAATTAACGATCCAAATTACATCACAAGATCCATTATTTTTAATACTTGAAATCTATTTTGTTTCATGTCCATTTATTTTGAAGTCGAGATGATCAATTTAAGGATTTTTGGGCTTCAAAACAATCTCTTTCAATAATATTTTTGAGGTGTGCCCTAAATTGATTGGTTAGAGCTTCAACATTATATAAACTTTTTCCTTTTCTTTTTTATCTCGTGCATGTATCACTGTCATGGCCATTTACCGTCATGGCCATTTATTTAGGGAGAAGTGTTTTGTGAGTCAGTGGGCTAGTAGAGTCAACAAACTCATTAGCCTGTTGACTCACAATCGTTTCTTTAAGTTGAACCTTCACAACAAAGGAATCTTCTCCAATGGATACATAAAATATTTAAAAGAAAATTAAAATTTTATTTTATTTTATTATTTATATCCATGATCATCATAGTGTAGATTATGGATCTCTAAAAATTTGGATCATTTAGTTAGATGGAATTGTATGCAATGAGATCATTTACCTTTGATACAAAAAAGTCACGATTACTTACAACTGTCTGATTGCAATCTTTTAAAGTGTGAGCTCTGGTGTGTCATAAAGCTCGAGAAAGTTTTCGTTTGAAGTTTGAGCTTGCTCAACGAGATAAATGCAGCCATCTAATTTTACATCCAATAATTAAGATTAATTGTGACCATTTTATATCAAAGATAAACGGTGAATTTGTATTCTTTTCTTTTCCTAGTTAGATACTCCAATTGACAACTCCCATTCCGTACCTCCAAGGAATAGCCCTTAATAAAACGATACGTGTAACTTCGGGCTGAAAGAAGCATTTTTTAATCAAATTCCGAAACTCTTTCTAACCTTACCAAAAGAAACTGAGTTGCCAAGAAATGTAGCATGCATCAGTACATCTCTACCATGGACTTAAAAAATGGTGCCTCTAGTATTCTGAAAATGACTGATGAAAAAATACATTTGAAATATATGATCTTTATTTTTTAAAAAAATAAATATTTTAGATTTATGTTCACTATGGCAAGACAAATTCCAAATTTTCAGAGCCAAACCATCTTAAAAATGAATTTTGCAGGGGAGGTCAAAGAGTCAGTTGACGCACCAAACACTTTTTCTTTAATAGATGCTTTGTCCTTTGCTTTCTTTAATGTACATTGCTACATGAAATGCCATTATACAATTTAATTTACATAATTAAGAATGTCACTGCCGTTAGTTTGAACACATTTAAGTATTGCAAAATATGGGTAATTCTCAAATAGTTGGGATAAAATGTGGATAATAATGATGATGATATAAATTAGAAATTCAAGTCAAATTTATTGGTGTCTTATATTTCTTTTCCTTTAATATTTAGACTCTCAACTAATATTTGGAGTTTCTACGAACTAAAAGATTATTTTCTTTTAAGAAAAAAAAAGAAGAGAGAGAGAGAAAGTAGGTCAACCTTATGTAGGTTCTCGGACAAATTTTAAGAATTTGAACATGTGGCTTCTCTTACCTACTAATAAGCTAAAACTCAATGATATTATAAGTAGAAGGTAACAACCTTAAAAAATAAAATTAAGATGCACCTCAAAATTTTATTATTAGACGTAATTTTAGTGTCAAATTTTTTTAGGATGGCTTGAGAATCTATTTTTGTTTTTAATTATGAAATTTTAACTCCAAAAACAATTCAAATCAACTAGATCTATAAATATATAAAATCTTGAAATGGACGCTCTTGATAATGTGTTGCAACGTGCACTATTTTCGAGAAATGAATCCTTATTTTTTCACATATTCATACATATGAAATTGAGATGAAGAATTAGAATGTTTTTCAAAATCAAAACAACCTTTTTCAATGGATTTTTGAGGTGCATCTGAATTCTACATTTTAAAGTTGCAATCTTGTACATAAACTTTTTCCTTAAAATTAATAGTCATTGTGCTTACCTAGGGTTGGGTTTTCACCATTGAGTAAAACAGACATTAGAGATCAATTCACATTTCAAGAGCTTGCTTGGACAGTTGATGTTGTGTCTAACGCAAATGTTTTAGTTCCCCTTTGTTTCTCTTTTGATTAAAAAAAAATATTAATATTAAAAAAAAAATCTTACTTTAGGAGATTCCCATTACGAATCTCTTTTTTTTTCCCGCTTTCCTTTGATGACTTTACTTTCTTTTTATCTTACGTTTTGTTTTTACGACTTGCCTCAAGTCAACAGAAAGAAAGGACCTAGAATTCAGTGTCATAGAGGCTTCAAGAAGAAGCTATTTGGAAAAAAAATAAAATAAAAAAACAAGAAAATGATGCCAATGGTGATTTGTTATAATCTATAAAAAAACTTATGGGCCTCCCCTATATTATCCCATTAAAAATCATGTACAATAATAATAGGATTTTTAAACTAAATTTTGAAAAATCTCATAATCATGTCATTTTTAAGGCTAAATTTGGGAAAACATTAAAGATAGCTTAGAACTTCAAAAATTTATATGTAACGAGTTAGTAGCTTTGAAAATCGATTATATATTCAAATTTTGACAAAGATAGATTAGAGCATGTCTATCTCTACACACATTATTATTAGGAAATGTTTCTCTTTACGTAAGGTCTCTCCCTTTCACTTTCTATACATTTATCTCTGTATGCATTTTTTTTTTAGGAAGTGATTATCTCTATTTTTTTTTTTTAGTAATGTAATATAGATGTTTTTAAAATTAGGTGCATACTCTATATCTTTCTCATCCTTTAAAAATAAGAATATATCCTACAATTTCTATAGAATTAAGACCCTTTTTTATTTTTGGTACACGTCTCCACCTCTTAACTCTGGATTAATAATATAACATGCATAATATATAAATAAAAATGTTACAGCGAAATCACCATATACAAGGGAGTGATTTCATAAATTTGTTCCATTCATAATAATATAAAATGAATATTGTTTTTACCTAAACAAGTTAGGGAATATTTATCCCTTACGTGAGTGAACATTGTTCTTTTTTTTTTATTATTCTGTTTTCTAATTTGCTTGATCTATATTTATGAAAAATTTGACCTTTAATGGATCCGTACTTTTTGAAGAGGCTTATATTCTATACTAGTGTTCCGAGTTGAGAAACGACCTACATTCTATATCAGTTTTTAAAAAGCTTGGGATCTGAGTTGAGAATTGCCAATTTGGATCCGAGTTGAGAAACGACCTACATTCTATATTAGTTTTTAAAAAGCTTGGGATCTGAGTTGAGAATTGCCAATTTGGACCGTAAATTGGTTAGGACCAAATGTTTAATATTTTTCTAGATCGCCTATTTAGACCGATCCAAATCTGGGATTCGATAATCCGACACAGATTTATGAGGTGGATAATCCCCCCCCCCCCAACCATCTCATCTTCACCCACTTCTCTCTACAAAGAACCAATCCAATAAAAACTCCACCTCTCTCTCTCTCTCTCTC